CTCCTCTTAAATTCCCAACTTTGAACTAAATTTCGAGTTATTTTCCCTCATCCAAATGAAGCCAAAGATGAATTGAAGTACACACATCAATATTTGTCTCAATTGAGCTAAGCACACATCAATATTTGTCTCAATAATTGAGCTAAGCACGACATCAACAAATAACCAAAATGCATCAACATTTTGTTTCAAAATAACTAACTTTTTTCTGGCCGGGACCTAGACGGGCCGAGTTGCGGGTCGAGTTGAGGGTTCGAACCCTTGGCCATGTACTACTTATTTTTAGAGTGGGCTAGTTTGACTGAGCTTAAGTTTTGGGTCAATCGGACCTAAATGTCGGAACAGACCAGACTTTAGCTCATCAAGCAGACCAGACTTAAACATTTAATTAGATCGGGCTTTAATCCATCGGCTGTTAAATTACCCACTTTGGTCTGCAAGCCGCAGGCCGAATGGTGATCCCTATCTAAACCCTAAAAACTAAATGTAACTTAGTTAATTCAAACAACTAGTATTTTACAATTATTTTCACATTGCCATTTCCTTATCGCATGCCAACTCCATTTTGCTACGCCTTTGTTGCCATTATTCTCTCAACCTCTCCTCCCTCATCACCAGCTCGTCCACATCTTTCTCTGTCCCTCAATTGTTAAAGCAATCATTATGTTTTTTTTTCTTCTCTCTCTTTTTTTTTTTTAAAAAAAAGAAAAAAAAATCTAGACAATGGACCTATACCTCCTAAATCTCCCCAACCCTATGCCTGTCATTGGTCATTTTCTTTCGTGAGCCAGCTTTTTTTATATGGGTTGTTAAGATTTTCCTTGATTGAAAATTTTGATGGATGTAAATTTGTATTAAAAAAAGAGAGGAGATTTTGAGTCTGAATTTTTGAAAACCCGTTTTTAAAAAAGTTCAATTTTGTTAATTAAAAAGGAATTTATAAAACTATAGTATAGAAAGATGTTAGTTGTTAAGAAATAAATCAATTGGTAGCTAGTTTTGAGGAATTGAAGAAGGGGAATGGTTCCACAGCCACAAGGTTCGTCACCAAACCCCAACATCATTAACATCATGCTTGGGGCGTAAGTGGAGTTGCTAGTCCAACAATAAAAACATGTGTTACTATATAATCCTTTATCACTACTAAAAAAAGCTCATTATAAGCCACAGAAAGCTAGTGATCTATATTCATGTTGACTACTGATAACCCGTGTTCAAAGAGTGTTGGCCACAAATTAGCCACAAAACACCTAATTATGGTAGTTGATGGCGTTGCCATTAAATTTCAGCCATGACAATGGGTGTTTGTGGCCGATATAAGTGGTGGCTCCCACTTTATTTTTAGGGATGATGCAACTCTTTCTTTATATCAAAATAATATTTTTTTTTTAATTGTATATAGACACAGATTCCACAACCGTGGCCAAAGTGCCATCTTTTTTTTTTTATATTTTTTTTTTATAATTAATTTAATAATAAAAATAAAATCCATATACCAGTAAAAATATATTCATATACCAATAAACATTTGTTCTCTTTGTTTTTTGCTACAACAAGTAAACAAAATAAATACATTTTAAAAAATATATCTTGACCGTGGCTTATATGTTAGAAGCAACTAATGCACAGTAACCGTAGCCACACATCACCAATGGCCGCTGTTGATTTGCTGTGGCTAGGCCAACTGTGGCTTTTGCCCCTTTTTCTAGTAGTGTATATACTAACTAAGTTCCAGTCATTTCATTGTATAGCGGGGTTTCCACTATTTCAACTCCATTTATTTCTCCATCGATGGTGATTGTGTTCATGGAGGGCATAATTTAGACCTCGCCGTGAGCCTTAGAAGACTCAGAAACGACCATACTCTTCATTGTTTGACGAAAATGTGTATGGATCAAGTGATGGAGGATATTGTGTATGACTCAGAAACGCCGTGAGCCTTAAAACAAAAAAAAAAAACAAAAACAAAACAAAACAAAACAAAAGAAAAAAGAAAAGTGGGAGAGGTAAGTAAAAGACAAGTAATAAAAGCATTGATCAAGTGATGGAGGATATTGTGCACCAACTATATCTTGCTCAAGGGAAGGCGATTAATGCATTGGGTGAATGCATAGCATGTAGTACGGGGTACCCGTGGGTCTCTTTCTGGTTTCTTTCTTGGCACCATTTGTTATTTGCGGTACGTAGGTATTATTTGGGTCCACAAACATACCGTGAAACACACACAGGTTGTGTTCCCTTCAGTTTCACAACAAATACAGCCTGCCATTGTAAGGGTGGATGCGGAAATTTGCACACGACTGGGCTACAGTTTTTTTGTTTTTTCTTGTGTCTATTATGCGTCGGTGGCTGACCAACTTTGTGTATGGACTCGGCTACAATTTTTTTTCTCTTGTCTATTATGCGTCGGTGGCTGACTAACTTTGTGTACGGAGTTGATTAGGTGTAGTGGATCAATTCTTGGAAGGGTGAAGTGGGGTAATTTTCACTTTAATGAGATGAATTTTCTAAAAATTAACACCATATTGCTGTATTTCCAGAACCTTGCATTGATCTGGAGCCCATTGTAGTCTAAGGTTGGCTTCACCCTTGCATTTCGCCATGTAAATTGTTATTAGAACTCCAAAAAAATCCCATTATGCATGAGAATAAACATGAAAAAAAAGAAGAGGAAATGCATGAAAACTGTTTTTGAAGGGCCAGTAACAACTTCCTATGGAATTTGTTGATAATGTTGAAAAACAGATGTTAGGCTTGTGTCTGGAGGACGAGGGGTCCATATGTCGTAGGACCTTTTGCATACGTTGCTGCCGACTACTGACAACAAAATTAGACACTATGTTATTGCGTGCCAAATGTTTTGGACACTCATGAAATTTTACTTTTTATTTTTTTCAATAGAACCAACGGTACGAGGAGAAATTTATTAAAAGGAAGAAGTGTTAGTATGAAAATTATATTGTTATCTTCTAGACTCTAGTATAAGTTGGGAATTAGTGTGTGAATATTATTTACTGGACGTTTTGGCACAATAATTCAATCCCAGATCTTCGAAACATGCCTTGATCAATATGAGAAACTTGTTTTCAAGTAAATCATGACATAATCATGCATTCACAATAGCAGTCTTAGTTGAAGTTATTTTCAATGTCATTTTGATTTAAGTTAAAATATTTTTGTTTCCTAGTGATGTGCACTGTGCTCATCTCCTAATTAACTTGTTTTATGAGATAATTGTTTCTTCATAAAAGTGGTTGTTTGGTGTCATCACTTAAAGAATCAAAACTAATATTCATAATTGAATAGTATTTGGTCTCCTATTTTGACATCCTTCGCTAGAGTCCATATTGGATTACATTTGATAGACATAATTGAATAGGATCTATGGTCATGTTTTGACATCTTTGACTTGAGTCCATATTGGATTAAACTAGAGAGTCATAATTAAGAATGTTTGTAGACTCCTAGGTCACCATCTGACTAGGGAGAATTAGTTTTGAACAAAAAGAACTGTGCCTCTTTTTTGAGAAGATACAGCTTTCGACATATTGGTTTTTGAGCATATTGAATTTTTAAGAGAAAGTTGTTGTGCATATTTTTCAAATAAGTCATCAAGTGTTCCTTGTTTATTTGGTGATTTATCAAATCCTTTCATCATTCATATTGCATTCATATGCATGTCGGTGACTCATATGGTTGAGGGCACCAATACCGTGGTGACAGTTTTCCTCCAGCAAGTTTGAAGCAATCGTAACCAGTATTGTGTTCAACATAAGAAGTGTCGAAGATCATCTCGTGACAGAATTTGGGTTACGAAGAAGTCGGTAAACATTATCTAAAATGTGTCTAGGATAAGTGTGTGAGTACTTCTTGTAATCATCGTTTTATAGTGGATTTGTGTTGGATTGAGGAGTCCTTTGGATTTTCCCCAGAGGTGGGGTTTTACCACATAAAATAATTCTCTACGTGTTCTTTTATTTTATGTTCAATGCTACTGGAGTTTATTTTTTGTTTATTAATTATAATCTAAATTGGCATGATCAACTCCCCTAGGCATTTTTAGTCATCCTACAGGTAATTTCAAGAAGTAAACAATGGAGATAACTGACCAAATCCACAACAAAACCAACCCTAAGCATGACTCATGAAATTTTCTTCTTAAAAGCTTTAAGTGCGTATATGAGTATTTGACTAGCTCCACCTTAAGCAACTTTTCTTATAGATTATAGATTATATTTAGGTTTTTCAGGTCTAATGGTCCCTAAATTTTGACCCGATTCACATTTTGGTCTCTCAATTTCCAAAATTGTGCCCATAGTCCTTTAACTTCACTTTCATTGTGCAATGGCCCTCAGCTTCTGCTCTGTAACGTTTTTTATATCAGAAGTGTCTTGTGTATTTTTTTTTTTTTAAATTATATTGCTTGGGGAAATTTCTTCCTTAATTAATTACTGATTGGGGGGCATAATCTTTGGGATTTGCTGCATCAACCTTGGTTTTTTTTTTTCTTCTCTCACTTTTCAAATATCGAATCAGAAAGAATATATATTGAGCTCTGTGTGGTGGGTGATGGCGTCAGTGGTTACTCCCTTTCATTGGAATGCTCTGATCATATTTTGTTCTATTCTATGACTTTTTGTCTGCTTTATTAATTGTTTTCCTTTCAACTTTTGCCGCAGTGAGAATATATTTTGCCATGGTTCCTTTTCAAAAATGTTCCTGTAATGATGACCTAGAAATGAAAGCTTTTGATAGTGAGATGGCATTGTTGTCAGCCCAAACCGCTGGTTAGAACCGCATTAACTCACTAGCCAATTGAACGCTCTGTAGGTTTACGCATATATTTGTTGTAAGTAGAAACATGATAATCACCCAAATCCAAATCCAAATCCAAATCAACTCAACTAAATACAACTTTATCTCTTTCAAATTTAGATTATTTGCCACAATAATGGCATGATAATGATTGCATCTGAAAGGAAAGCACACAGCATGTCTTGAACTAAAATGAAAAGATTTGCACTGCATACATTTCACAATTGAGGTCACAATCCTCTTCTTTTTGAGACAGAGATTTGGCATCCACCTTTTGGTTTCACTAAAAAGGAAGCAGACAAATATCCAAAAACCACTGCAGGCCCCCCTATGGAAACACTTTGAATCCCAAACCTGAACCACCCAACCTTTCTTCTATGACTTTGGACAACCTCTCCACCATCTTAGGTGACAAATAGTTCACCCAATCTCCCACCTCAGCTTTTCTAAACAGGTTTTTATTCTCAAAATTCTCAATAGAAGACCCAATTTTGTTAACCTCCAATTTCTTCATGTTCTCAAAACAGCAAAGCTTTGCAATGTTTTCAACCACACCACCTCTCTCCTCCTCCAAAGTAAAAGGGAAACCCAAAAACTTTGCCAGTTTTTTCAACTGAAAGGCACCATCTTCCTTCATGTCCTCATACTTCAAGAACAACACCTTGTTAGGCCTCAGCAAGCTCTCCTTCCAATACCCAAGCATGTGATCCCAAAATGGACCAAACCCAACAATGCCTTTGCAGTACATGTCAAAGGCCTCCTCCATGGAGATTGGGGATCCAGATTCTGGTTTCACTTTGTTAAGGAAATGCCAAGAGGAGACAAATGTGTCAAGTGGATTTCTGCAGATAAAAACAATCTTTGCGTCAGAATTTTTTATGGAATTTCCCAATGAAGCAAAGGGTATGTGTGTTCCAAAGAGTCTTGGCTCAGAAATGTTGGTGAGATCAGGGAGCTGGTTGTTGGCATAGAGCTTGTACTCAAGGAAAGGCACAAGATCATGAGGGTTTGAGTTGAGCAAAGGATGGCTCTTTGAGTTTGGAATGAAACGGTGCCGGTTCGAAACAGCAAAAGCTAAGGCTTTCAGCCATGTGGTGCCTGATTTTGGAATGCTGGCCACCACTATGTCAGTGTCATTAGCTTGGAAGTGCTTTTGGAAAGACATAATGGATTGGATCTCAGCTGACTGGCACCAAAAGCCTTGGAACTGATAGAGGTGAAGGGTTCTCCAACCTCTCTCTTTTGGGAGAGAAAGAGGCAGTTCAGTGCACTCATCAGTGAGTTTTTGTTCTTCAAGAGTAGGTGCCATTGAAATGGTGAGTATAGAATTAATGGGCTTGAAAATCAGGGCGCAGATACCCCCTTATATAGTGTAAGCTCTCCCACTTACATTATGTGGTGGTTTTAGGATTCAAAAGCAGGTTGGACAAAACTTACATACTAAATTCAACGGTACGAGCAAATTTCATTAATACTATCCTATAGAGATTAGTTAGTGCAGCCCAACGTACCAAACGAGCCTTTAAATTGCTAAGGAAAAAATGAAAGAGCAAATTGTAGAAATAGTCTTTGAATTTGTACTCAGAATTGCACTTGAATTACATTACTAAATTTTACAGTGTACAAACTTTTAAGAATGTGTAGCAATGGTCTCAAATGTCAAATATGTTTTCTTTTATGTCAACATTAGTCACATGGTGTGAACGTAAGTTGTTTAAGCGAAGTTTTATTTTCTGTCAAAATTGATCACATGGTGGGGACCTGACAAGTTGTTTAGGTGAAGATTTATTTTTTATTAAATTTGGTCACATGGTGGGGACCTAATAAGTTGTTCAGAAAAAGGTTTTGACAATTCAGTATTCATCCTTAGCCTCCAAACCAAACAACCCACTCCTCCCCCTCCTTATCCTCCACTTTACTCATCGCGTTGAAGATAAGCCTCACCACCAAGATTTCTCTATTGTGCTAGAAATCCAAAGGGCTCAAAGGGTGATGTGTATAGCTCGGGATTAGAATTGAAGGATAGAATGTTGAGGTTGTACGAAATGATGATGAGGCAAATTCATGTCTGTCAAAAATAATAAATAAATAAATAACCTAACTGATACGAGACACCTATCATATTTTGACGTGGATTTATGGTATTTCTTGATAGTGAAACTTATTAATTTTAAAAATGAACCACGTACAAGGATCCACACGTATACCAAATCAAGCCACGTTTGCATACGCCCTGCCGTACGTACATGTGGGACCATATTGTTCATCAAAGGGAAGGCCTTGGTAGTTGGGTGCATGTAACGTACGTATGGACCATGGGGTCTTTTTCAGGCTTTGACTGTTTGTGGATGGATGTTAGCGTCGACATGCCGCGAAACATAGGGTTACGTGCGTCAATTGTCCTCTTCAGCTTTACGACTTATGTGGCATAGCAAGCATTGCCGCAATAATAACGCAGCATGCATCGACCAAAAAGGTAGGAACATGGACTACACGTAGGACTGATTCGTTTAATTAGACGTCATGTTTTGCGCTTAGGATTAAATGGTATTGCATACCTAATATGTTGAATGAAGAAACTGTTTTTAAATTTTGTATAAGTTAAAGATAAAATATGAATTAGTCACAAAAAAAAGTAACCGAGTTAAAGGTAGAATATGAATAAGTCGTGAAAGAAATTGACCCTTTAAAATTTCAACAAAATGATTTGATATCAATACATTATAACCTATTAGTTCGAATCCTGCAAAAATGGAAAACCCTTCATCTTTATCTTCATTTCTTATTTCAATACATTTTGATATCTTGTGAATTATCCAATTCAATTTAATTTTATGCACAAATGTGGTGGTATAATATTGAGTGTGCAGATTTGGTGATCATGTTGAAAAGGAGATATTAGGTATGCGTCCGGAGGAGTGTATTTATTTCATGGGACCTTTGCAGTTGTTGTTGACATCAATTGACAAGATTAGAAGTTAGAGGTGAAATACAAATTAGATTGAATGGTTGATTTTACTATAAAGTCACCTAATGGTTGGGTCGGGCCGGCCGGCTCTGTTATCAACACACTTCGACCCTTGCCAGCAAGATATGGGTAGCTGAAGGACTATGGCTCTAATCCCATAATTCAAAATGAATTGGGCTAGATTTACCTGACGATCAAACTCAATGACATGAGTGAATTTAATTAATAACAAAAAAATAATACACTTAATCAGGGGGGACATAATGAGTCGTACCCCTCAAAATGTATCTAGTACATAAGATAGAAACTAGTAAAGTTAAACAAAGACAACAATAAATAAATATGCAATGCAAATACAAAATAAAACTTTTTAAGTTACACCCTTCGAGACTTCAAAAGATTTAAAATCACTAATTATTTATTCATTATTGATATTATCAGTAAAATCTTTTTCAATGTGAAGTATCATACAGTCACCAAAAACCTTATCATCTATCTTGTTCTCTTAAGATTTCGATGATTATCCGATATTATAAAGTATATCCTATGAATGATGTATAAAACATGTAAGCAACTATAATGTGAAACAATATCTAGTACTAGTAAGTTAAACAATAAGGGTTTCATATTTTTTTAAATTTATTTATACACTCAAACAAGCTTTAGAAGATAGCCCATACATTCAAACAAGCTTCCAATTTAACAAATGCTAAAAATGGAGTAAAATCCCTAATAAATTAGGTTAAAAATCCCCAATACATTAGGTTAAAAATCCCCAAATTAAAAAATCCCTCTTACTCCTAATCACTAATTTAATTTGGTTCTCAAGGGGGAGCTGGAGCAAAGTTTGCTCTGCTTCTCTCACAAGTGATGAGACTCTGACTTGAAAAAGAGCAGGTAACATGCTCTATGTGGGGAACACGGCCGGTGGGCTCATGACTGCTTTCAAATTTGGGTTGGGCTACCTACATGCTTTTTTTATGAAGACTACATGGTATTAAAACAAGAATTCTATTGTGAGGGTCTTATTTAAGGCCCTTAGATGAGGTCTTATCTCCTAATGATTGGATTAAATTGGTTAGACGTTAGGTTAAATTGGTTATTTTGATTCAACGGTTAAAAGATAAGACCTTATCTAAGGCCCTCACTGTAGAATGACTCAATATTTAAAAAAATAATAATAATAAATCGTATGGGTTGTAGCCCAAACAACCCATTATGTAGATACGTGCCTATTTTCCACAATGGAGGGCTTGCTCTATAGGTATTTTATAGGGAGCTTCACTAATATACCCAAAATAGGGGCTGAAATTATTTAAAAAAAACCCCCGCATTTTAGAAACACACCCAAAACTCATTTATTACATAAGAAATTGGTGTTGAAGTTCCTATAAATTACGCGACTGCCATTAATCAACTTAAAAGAAGCCCAACACAAAAAACTTAAATAGCACCCAAAACAAGCCCAACCAAATTTTATAATAAAAAAACCCAAACAATTCATTACAAACAAAATGTCTTAAAAACCATAGCTTCATTAACGTGTCATGTTGATTAATGACTGTAATGTTTCATACCTTTATTGTCAAGTTGATTAATGGTTGTAATGTTCCAGTCTAGGGTAATATCACTGTAGTTTACTATCATGTTGATTAATGGATGTAATGTTCTAGTCTAGGGTAATAACATTGCTAATTTTGACAAGACCCGACCCAAATTCCACTTTGGAATCCAAGCCGAACCCTGTGCGTGATCGACAGGCGAGTGCCGAGCACAAATGACCCTGTTGCCCTTCTTGTTAAAAACTTAACTTCCTTTCAGGTTGACTTCTACCAAAAATTCGGCAGAGTTTCCCCTGTAAATCGAACATTCCTAAAATTACACATGTCAACAAACACTTAAATATACACCAACTGTCAGTATACATAAATAAGTATGTTCCAACAGTTAAATACGTCCTAGGGCAACTTCAGAGCAACTAGACAGGTTAATTTATCAAGGAAAGAATCAACTTGTGAACCAAGAGCCCTACATCAAACTGAGAAAGAGCGGGAAGCGAAAACTGCCCTGTGGTGGCTCACGGATGCACGTCTACAGCTTGGGGGGGCAAAACATTAAAAAGGTGAGTCGTCCCAAAAACAAAGTTTAGAAAATAGATATGAACATACTAACCCCACTTTAAAAACGGTTAGTCAAAACTAAATCATTCTCTTAATCATATACGTACTGAAATCAATGCACTCATATATTTATAAATATATACCAATCATACTCATGGTCATCTTAAACTCTTAAAAGCACTGAAATCAGTTTAAAACTACCACCTAGGTGTATCCCTGTATTTCTGTCAATTCTTGATATTCGTCAATTCCTGTTATGCCGTCAATTCCCCTAGTAGGTCTCGGTGGCACTAGGTCAATCCGAGCCACAAAAATGGCTGGATTCATGGGACCGTCGTCAACCTGATCCGCATTCCTGGCTCCGCACAAGTCCGGGTACCATAGAACTCATGGGGCAACTGTCAAGCATGCTGACTAAACCGAAGGCAACTAATATAATCTGAAGGCAACATATTTACCAAAGGCAACCTGGATGTCCGTGGACATCGTCATATCTGAAGGCAACATGTGAATCTCTGGGTACCTAAGGTGGCTTAAGAAAATATATATATAGTTTCTGAAAAATCTGGTGAATAACTGAATTTCTGTTAAATCTATAACTTTGCTGTGTATAAAACATAATATTTAAAAGCTCATATCAATTTATAAATCACTAATATGTGAATAAAACTTATTCAAGGTCAAATACTGTAACTGAATTGCAAAAATTCATTTCTGAAAACAAAGAGTCCACTCACAACTAGTTCGTGCTCACTGGACCTTTTGAAGGTCCCTCCTGCAAGTCAACTGGTGCCCGAGTGCCTGATTCAAATACCAAAATAATATATATTAATAAAACAGCTGGGTAAGAATATTTAAATAAAAACCCTGACCCCCGGCTCCTAGAAGTGCGTGCATCCAATTAAGGATATTCATATGCCCACATTAACGTTCCTTTAATCCTAGGGCACAAGTCCCGTGAGTCCGGTCTTGATTGGACAGTTGGATTGGTCACAATCGCGTGATCAACGGTTCTTAAAGCCTTAACCCTAGGGTTCGTGATTTCGGAGTATCTGGGACTCCGATTCACGATCCGTCAAATCCCAAGCGATCCTGGAGCTGTCTAGATTAACATATCTGAAAATTGTTACGATCCAATGGCTCCATTGTATTGAACCCAGAAATCACACAAGATGTGAGATCCGTTCGGGGTTCAAACGTTGTTCAAATTGAGATCCGCGAATTCCTACGCGCTCGTGACGATAA